ACACACACACACAGACACGGGTGTGTGTGTGTGGGTGTTTGTGTGCGGGTGTGTGTTAACAAATAAAAGATGGCTGGTTTGTGTGGGTTGTAGTCAGTGGTGGGATTCAGACAGTTCGCACCACTTCGGGAGAACTGGTTGTTAAGTTTCTTAGCAGTTTGGTGAATGGTTGTTGGAAGAAATCATTAGAGAATCGGTTGTTAAATTATTTGAATCCCACCACTGGTTATAGTATCTCACATAGTATTCATGAGTTCAGTTGAAATCTTACCTCAATCATAGATTAACTGGACAACAAGAGGAAGCCAACTTTGACTTCCATGTGCCCTGTGAGAGTAATAAAATATTGACTCTCCTTAAAGTATATGATGTAGTGGATATTCTAAAATTGTGTTTCAAGTACATGTCTTCCTTCCCCCCTCCTCTTCTTTTCACTATTTTGACATGAAGAAGCTATGACAACCCTGTTTGAAACATATTCAGTGGCCTACTAGAAAATTATGGTTTAAATAGCTATTAGTCAAAATAGGAAACATATCCTTATGTAACATCTATTAGGACTATTTCACATTATTATTGATCAGAACCTTTATAAAAAGAGGTATGTTATATATTTCATTAAGCTACCTAACAGAGGAAAACACTCCATCTGGTTCCACCACCTTCCATATTCTGCTTTGTCCTTGTTAATGTTAGTTCCAAATACTTTATTGAATAAAAATGGTCAGACCATCTAACAGAACTTTAAATAAAGAATAATAAATGCATTTTTCTATTGTCTCTAATGTCACTAATAAACGTAGTGTTAAAAATCTATTCCTTCATACATTATGACTGATTCATCCAGACTCTAATATTTTCAGTTTTTGTTGCAACAGAACCACATAACCATGATTCCATAACATTATATACAATGATGGCATATAAATATGTGTTAGCAAATTTATCTCCTTTTCCTGTTGAAAAAAGATGAAAAAAGTGTCCATTTGAAAAAAACTTTAAAAATCCATGAAACAGATTTCAAAAGAACAGAAAAGGGCAGTCAATGTAAGGCAAGGTTTATAGCCCTAACAGGGAGATAACCAACAACCTCACTCTGCTATGCATAATTGATTGGGAAGCTTGATTGTACTCTCCTGAAGCCTAAGGCCAGAGAATAAAATGCAAGTGGGAAATGGCATTTTGAATAAAGACAATGTTGACACAAAGCTGGAGCCAGCCTCTGTATGATTAAGGATGCCTTCCTAAAAGCACCTTTCTCCAAAATTCAGTGACCTTTGGCCTTCTTTACAAGCAGAGCTATATTTTTCTACTTTAGGTAAGAGCTCAGTAGGATGAATTGCTGTATCCTGTTTTCATCAGTCCTGAAAGACCTGGGTTAAAGGTAAATCTAAGGATGTTTGCAGGACACAATTTTGAGCTATTCTTAGCAAAGTTTTAATGGTACTATGCCCAACTCAAAGATGGCCATCTCTGAAGGAACAGCTAGCTTGAAAAAGCAGCTAAGTCCCAAGAGCTTCAGATAAGAGTGTGAAACCTACCCCTCCCCTTGACTTTGTAGTTCTCTAATCACCTTAAGTAAAGAAGACTTGTGAATCTCTTTGGCAGGGAGGAGCTGATGGCCCAGTAGCCTACCCTTCTTGTGTAGACGCCTTCCACCCAGCCTTCATTACAAAATTATCATAATAAAGGGCAGTGCTTCCTTTCAGTTCTCAGCTTGATCTTGAAACTTCAGAAATTCTTCTTCATACTGTAAAACTTTGGCTTCTCTCCAGGTGAAGAATAAAAATAAATAACCCCACCCCCACCTCCGTACACAACACATGCATATATACAAACATAGCCACTTCCATCCCACAGTTGCAATTTGGGGATAGAAGGATTGGGGGGGGGGGTAGGACAATGCAAACCTGGTGAAGAGGAGCTGAAGAACATACCACCTG